AATATGAAGGGGAAAGGCGGAAATATGCTTTAAGAGCACTAATTTATATGGTGTAGTGAAAGGTATACCTTTATAAGATATGTAAAACTTTTTTATTCTCATTTTTTATATATTCAAAAATTTCTCCTTGTGTTTTTTTTTTTTTTTTTTTTTTTTTTTTTTTTTAAATTCTTTTTTATTAACAGCTTCTTCTATTAAATACGATGGAGCGACTGAAACTTTAATTGATAGCATTTTGTCTAACTTCTAAAATTGTGCTTCATTTCGAAAAGGTGGCGGAAAAGAAAAAAGTTTTGATTGATTGATATGAATTTATATTTATAAAAATCAATCTAAAATTTCTTTATTGAAATATTTTCATATATTTCAATAAATAAATATTTTCTTTTTGTCTGCTAATTTTTTTTTTTTTTTCAGTGTTAATTCAACATTACAAAATAAAACTCAATTATGAAAAAAGCCTAGAATTGAGTTGATGTTTTAAGTAAAATAAGAAAAGCCCAAAAAGTAACTGATGTGATATTTTAATTTTTTGATAAAAAAAAAATTCTAATAATGTTTAAAATTGGTATTAATATTAATGTTTATTAGATGAAGATAAGTAAAATAATAAGTTAAAAGTTATTTTTTGGTCTTGAAAATTGTTTGAATGATAATTTATTATTTATCAAAATATTTTCTTTTTTAATTTTTGTTGTTTTTATATTTTAATTAAAAGTCGATATTATTGTGTCATATATTATAATATTCCTTTTATTATACTATTATATTTTATATTAATAATGAGTATTTTTGTTTTTTTGTATTTCTATTTTTTTTCAATATTCCATAATTATCTTATGTAGATGTTTATGTTTTAGCAACCTAGTATTCTTTCATTATTTGTCTTTGTTATTGAGCCTTAAGTTATTTGAACTTAATATATTCAGAACTCTGCTGAATAATAGAGTAATAAATAAATTAATAAAAATGAGTTAAAATATAATAAATTTATAAAATAAAGGAAATCTTTGCTTATAATGTCTACTAATATTATTGTTTAGCAAGTATCATGGTTATAAAATGTTCAAATTTAGCTAGTTTAATTAGGCCTGTTAGTACACTTATTTTATGGTTTCTTCATTTTATATTAGTTCATGTAATTTTTTCAAAATCAAATATGCGGAAAGGAGCTGTTTGGAATGAAGATTTACAAGAAGAAGTAATTCCATCTAATTAGATTAGTGATAAAACTGTTTGTCGGCTTCCAGGTACCAAAGCATTGACTGCACTAAAATGCAGAGAAGAATTGGCTTAAGTTTATACAAATAAAAACTAAATTCTCTTCAGGTATTACATCTATATATTACAATTATTATTTTTTAAATAATGTGGTAAGAAGAGTTATTTTGTTGATACAAAATATATAACTATTTGTAAACTATTTCAATTCTAAAAGAAAGCAAACAGTATTGTGAAAATTTTAAATTCACAACTACAAAAGAAAAATGTGATAATGAGAATGTTGACAAGTGGATGCAAGATTTGCACACAAGTGGAAACTTGGATGCAAATTTTCCACTTATGTGGTTTGGATGGTTCTCCACAATATAATATATCTCCACAAGCATAATATTAGATTTACTTCATTTTTTTTTACAGATAAATCCATTACAGTTAATTGGTGGAATTACCTCATTTATAATCAGGGTGTCTGCAGCTCCTCTAAAATCCTCTAAAGTCCTCTTTTTTTAAAACCACTTCTAAAATCCTCTATTATCCTCTAAAGAGGTAAAAATTTGATCAAAGCTCCTCATTAATTCTTCCTTTTTTAATTTTTGATGGATGTATAATGTTCAAAATACCCATTCTCGGTCTGCAAAACTGGTTAACGCCTTAAAGTGCATGGAATTGTAAAAAATTGCTTTAGAAAATGCATGCTATTTAACATAACAAATGACATTATTTGATCCCTGTCCAAGCCCCATAAGTGTATAAACATGGACGTTAAACCATTAATAAATAGCCACATAAAATTTCTTATAAAAATTTTATGTGGCCACCCCGAAAATTATTTTTCAATGCTAGAAATGTTTTATATTTTGATTATTAATTTATTTTTAATATATTAAAAAGGTTGTTTTATTTAAATTTAATTTATTGAAAAAGTTATTAATAACCAACTAACAGTTATATTATTTTTTATAAGTTCAGAGTTATTTCGAAAAGTTATATGGCCTCCATGGATATGAAGGGCAAAGGTGGAAAAATATGTTTTAAGAACACTAATCTATATGGCGTTGAAAAGATATACCTTCATAAGTTGTAACACTTTTCCATTCATTATTTATTTTTTAAATCTTCCCTTTTTGTTTTTTTTTAATATATTTTTTTTATTTACAGCTTCTTCTATTGTATTCAATGGACCAAAAGAACCCTCGGTTAATGGAACATTGTTTGACTTTCTAATTTACGCTTTTTTTTCAAAAAGGTGGTGGAAAAGAGAAAAATTTTGTGTAGATTTTATTCAATTACATGTAAATATGTAAATATATGTAATATTTGAATATGTATTTTTGAATAAAACAAGTTTTATCTCTTTCTTGAATCATACCTAGCTATTTTAACTAAACTAAACTGAAAAAGTTCTAAATAGTCTAAGTATAGACTATGAATAGATTTAATATCCATAATATACCTTGATAATGTACAGCAATACTTATGTACATGCATAGTACGTTTTGATTGTGATCATATTTTGACGCACATAGCACGTTTACATGCATATATACATTTTGACATACATAACACGTTTTGATGGTGAAAAAGTGTTTTACAGTCGTTTAACGTTGATAAATCAACGTTAAAAAAACTATCATTTTAAACGCTGTATCAATGTAAATTCAACGTTGTTGTAACGTTTTTTCGTGTCGAACCAACGTTGATATAACGTTTGAATCTAACGTTGATAAATCAACGTTGAAAAAAACTTTCATTCTAAACGTTAAATCAACGTTAATTCAACGTTAGGTTTCAACGATATTTCAAACGTCATTTGCCGGCTGGGTATCTATTCCTAATGTTAACTTATCAAACTATTACACACACTGCGAAAGCTTTTTCGAAGCGTGTCTTAGGTCAGATGACATACCTCGACAGTGGAAAATATACATAATATTTTAAATAAAATAAAATTTTAAATTTTTTTAAAAAATCGAATAAAAAAAATATAAAAAAAACATTTTTTTTTAAATAATATAGAATGTTGAGATTGCGCATGCGTTAAATGTTTTGATTGAAAATCACGATTGTTTTAATTGAAAATCACATTGTTTTAATTGATTGTCGCGGTGTTTTAAATGAATGTCATGGTTGTTTTTAATGGTTGTAAAAACCGGTAAATTGTAAATGTTTTTTAACCGCGGCAAAATAAATTAAAAAAAAATCGTTATATGGTATCGAGTACAGTAAACTTTCTAGAAAGGTTTTCCCTTTTTATTTCGTTTGTTTAGGTGTGCTGAATTATTTATGCGTAACATTGTATTGGTTATACTTTAACTTGAATAACATAGTACTGTTTATACTTGAATTAATCATACATCACAAAGACTTTGTCAAAACTGTCATGTGTAAATAAATATTTAATTTTAAGTAATATAAATAAAGTGTTTTTTCACATTTATAATTTTTTTGTTCGTAAATTTAGGTTTTAATTCGTAAATTTAGTGTTTTAATTCTATTTGTTTTGTATATTTTAGTGTATATCGACTGAAATATAGGTAGAACATGCAAGTAGTGATTGATAACCAAGCAACTCAAGTTAACCCGCCCCATTACTTTAAATAGTTTGCGGTCATTTTTTCCTGCTATTTTCTGATATTTTAATCGAACTCAAAAAAAAGATGAAAAAAAGAAGTTGAATCTTCATTTTCATTTGTTTATTTTTTTTTTTTTCCATTTGGTTTTACTTCCTTTATAGTAGGGAGGTTTTATGTGTTTGTTAAAACTCAACTTTACGGCTCAGAAAGAATTTAGTTGATAAAACTGCGATTTTTAAAAATCCGTTTTGCAAAGCCTAAGAGCAGCATGATTTTTTACTTTTTTAATTTTTCAATCAGCATGCATAAAGATCATAGTTTATTTCTAATATTTTGTGAAAACTTTTCTTTTTATATCCTTTTTGACATTAACTTGTTTTGTTAAATAATTGCTGATAACTATAATTATTTCTAAATATATTATTAATATTTAACTATTTGAAACTATAAAATAAAATAAAATAAATAGCAGTTATAAACAAACAAAAATTTGCGCTTCTTTGTTTACCTTTTGAAACTTCTATGGGTACTACAACAAACAATATGGAATGACGTCACGCCGATTGGATGGACGACACAAAACAAACTAAAAGTAACTGATGTTCAGTGCACTTAAAGGTTTTAAGTATAGTATATTGGTGCTTGCAAAGAAACACTACACGAATTAATTTTTAATATAAACTAATTCTTTTCAACTTTGTTGTATAGGGTGCTTTGGCGCTTAACCATCCAAATCTTAGAAAAACTTTTATAACTTTTGTTATTTCAGAATTGTTTTCGTTATAATTGAAGTTGTCATTTAATTTTCGTCTAAGCTTCATTTAAATTTCTTTAAATAGTTGTGTAGCTAAATAAACTCAAAGCCTCTTGTCATTGGAATACGAGATAAATTTTTTGCAGTTAACACAAACACAACAGTTCTTACAGTATTAGTTCTTACAACAGTTCTTACAACAACAACAACAACAACAGTTCTTACAACAACAGTTCTTACAACAACAACAACAGTTCTTACAACAACAACAGAGCAGTTCTTAGCGTATTAAGAAGTTCTTAACACATTAAGAAGTACTCATAAAAAACTCTATATTGCATGATGTTTTAATTTTTAATTATATATTTTTTTGTTATATTTTTCAAATTTAAGTTTATGCTTAAATTTTTAAAAAGAAATTTAATGCATTCTTTTTTTTTTAGAAAACAATGAAGTGTATTGCTGTAATTATGACCTTGTTAATTGCTGCTTATGCAGGTAAGTTTGTTTTTTATAACCTTTGTTAAAAATACCAATTGAAATTATCTGATCAGCATTACAGTGCACAGTTGTCTGAAAAACTTGATTTTTGGCCAAAATTCAAAAAAAAAAGTCGGTAATTTTTGATATTTCTATTATTTTTAAATACAACTTTTATATTATTTTATTTTATTTAAATCCAGGCAATTCAAAAATATATAGGTTTCATAATTTTTCTTAAAAGAAACGTCAATAGCCGTACCCAAGAGTGGTTAAAAACCGACGAATAATTTCTTTCAAAAATACAACATTTTTTCATTTGTGTATAAATTTAAAACTATATCCGCATATGTATAGATTTTTTTATTTAAACAAATTTTATACTACAGAAATCTAATAATTTTTTATTTTTGTATATTTGCATAAGTTGTATATGTTTGAAACTAGCATAAATTTAAAGTTTTTTTTTAATTTCAACTTCTTCTTAAAACTTAAGTCCGCATGCATGGACTCGATCATGCATGCATGGACTCGATCAATATGATTTTATTAAATCATAATATCCATATATTATTCAAAAAAAAAATCAGCTGCAAATAAAATTATTTAAACCAACTTTAAAGCTCCCAAAATATAACTTTTTTATGTTATCAAAAAGACTAGTGTCACTATTTTTGATTTATTTATATAAACACATTTTCCAAAACATTTTTTTTTTCTTTATACAATCGTATTTGCTACCTAAATTGTTAAAAGTAGTTCAAATATTCATTTTTTTTTTAATTTTTATAAAATATTCCATATTCTAACTAAATTAAAATACTTGAAAAAATGCATATTTTGGTAAATTTAAAATCTATGTAATAAATCTATGAAAAACGCTCCGCAATTAAAGCATTATATTAATAGTATATTTTGAACATCTATTATCTTTAACAATTCCTAAAAAAATCAGCTGCAAATAGTTAAAATAAAAGAAACTAATATTAATTGCAAATCATACCGTATTGAGACTGTATTTGTATTGTTTCTATATGATATTTTTATTCATATCGTTATTCAGTATTGTACGCATACTTTTTATATTACGGTTTTTAATTTATTGTATTGAGTTATATATCTTTAGATTGATTATTAAATTGAAATTGAAATAATATAAAAGTTTTTTATTAAAAAATAAATACCCAATTTATGATAAGTTTAAGGATTTTTCGCGTGTGATTTTTATTATTTATTATTCAAAAATATTGATGTACACTTGTGAAAAAGAAACGGAAATCATCACCTACAATTTTTAATTAAAATATTTATTTTTGGCTTGATATAAAAAAAACTTTTGTTGGAGAGGGGGGGGGGGGAAGAAGTTTGCTTTTAATCCCCTCTTCCTCGCTGCACCCCATTTAAATGTATATATATATATATATATATATATATATATATATATATATATATATATATATATATATATATATATATATATATTTATATATATGTATATATATATATATATATATATATATATATATATATATATACATATATATGAAATATATCCCAATTAATTTCAGAAAAAAAGTGCAACCTAGTATGCACAAAGATTTGGGCACCAGTTTGTGGTCACGATGGAAAAACATACGCCAGTGAATGTACGTTAAAATCCGAATCTTGCGATAGTCAGAAACCCATTGTTAAAGTGTATAATGGCAAATGTAACCCTAAAGGTATGTCATTTATTTTTATAATGATTTTTTCATTTTATTTATTATTTTACTTTCATTTTATAGTAAAGAATAATTTTTATTTTTTATATCAGGTGACTGCAAATTTGCTTGCAACAGAATGTATGCTCCAGTTTGCGGTAGCGACAAAAAGCTTTACTCGAACGAGTGTCTTTTGAGACAAGCTGCATGCGAACAAAGAAAAGCCATTACAGTCGTTCAAAATGTTGGCGAAAACAATGATTGCAGTTGTAAGTAATTTGACACTAATACTTTTTTAACTTTATGAAGTTGTTATGGTCTTGTTTATAGTAACAACCTTTTTCACAGTAAAGTAACAACGTTGTTTGCAGTAAAAAATAACCTTGTTTACAGTAGAAAATATTTAAAAAAAGAAAGTCTTTGCTTTTTTTAATAATTAATATAATTAATTATAATAAAAATATAAAACTTTTAATTAAACAGTTAAAAGCTTTATATTTTTTAGAGCAGAGAAAAAAAAGTTGCTATAATAGGCCGGGTGAATAAAAATAAGCAATTGCTTTTACTCAGTAATCGGTCAGCTTTACGTGAATAAAAACTGTAGCAATTTTCCTTATGTTTTTCTTCACGTAAAGCTAACCAATAACTGAGTAAATTGCTTAACTTTACGCAAATAAAATTTTCAGCGAAACTGATAAAGTTTTTATTCAAGTAAAGCTGACTAATTACTGAGTAAAAGCAATTGCTCATTTTTATTCACCCGGCCTAATAAGTATTATATCAAGAGCAGACATTTATTATCATGCGTAATTGACAAAAGTTATCATGTGTAATAGATCTGTTCCCAGTCCGGTTGCCGTAAACTTATTGCATTGCATTCTGGTATCGCTATTATTGCGTATTGCATATTGTATGAGCATATTGTATAATTAATCAAACCGGAAACTTTAGTAAAGAATGCTTACTATGCTTATTGCCTGAGCTTGCATGTTCAAGTGCAGAGTTCTCAGGATGAAGAAAAAAAATTTAAAAATGACAAGTTGAATAAAAGAAAAATTATATCAAAATTAATTGTAGACCCAAAATCATTAACTTATAGTTGGGATTTGGTCCTTTGCTATTCCCAAACGTAACATATGCAGAAGTTCAATTATATTTAAACAAAAGAATTATATTTAAACTAAGTAAAATTGAAATAGTAAAACCTCTATTAAAAGATACCTTAGTGCTTACAAGAAAAAAAACTTTTAAATTGTTCAAATTTTGATCCAGGAGCCACAAATCAAAGAGAAGTTTCAATGACAAAGGAAGACGTAGATTTTTTGCACAAACAACAATTTATAATTGTGGATATGTCATGCTTATGCAAACAAAAAATGTTGTTCCTTTACCTTATATTTACTATGTTGCTCAAGAAATCAAAGTTAATACTTCCTTGCATCCGTCCCTCCCTAAAACACCTTTGAAGTTGTAACTTGTTATACCTTTGAAGTTGTAACTTATTTATATCGATTACTTACAAAGTTTATTGATGCAGTTAGCTACAAATTTTGACGAAATTTCTGAACTAGAACACTTAACAAGAAAGCAGTCATTTAATAATGATTGCGTATTATGTAAGTTGAAAGTTTTTAAAGCAAATGCTGCTTTAAAAACTTATATTTGTAAATAAAAATTTAACAATAGTAGAGATTAAATGTCATTGAACTCATAGAGGTTTAATCATTCCAAAATTTGCCGCTATCAAAGGCACATGTTTAATATTTGAAAAAAATAAATTTGTACTTGATCTCAACATTCTTATTATAGTCAAGTGCAATGTCAAATGGCTTCAACAGGTTTTTCATATTTGTGATTTTGTTGTTGGAACTTCAAAACACTTATATAGTTATCGTGTTCATTTTTCAATCAATTTTTGGCAAAGTTGTGTTAAAAAAAATGAATATTTATACAAAATTTTGATCTTGCCTTATATGATAAATGAAGTGATCTCCAATACTGTAGAGTCTGTTTTGAATGAAACTTTATTTAAAATTTGTAATGAAATGTCAATGATGAAATTGACAATGAAGTTGATTTTTTTATTTCATAATATTTAATATTACTAAAGGTCAAAATAAGGGCTGTAAACTAAAAATATTTTTGTTAATGACATTTATTTTAATTAGTTAGAAATGAAATATTTTAATGCTTTAAAATGTCTTGTAATTTGAATATAGTTATGATCAACTAAATGAGGTGCTAAGTTAGTAGTAGCTGCAATAAAGATATGGTCTAGCAAATCAATCATACTCAACGTTTAACTTACTGGTAAACTTCCCTTTGCTTTTAAGAAATGGTGGTATTACTAATTTAACTTTCCTTGCAATTGAAAGACTTATATTCCTTTATCCAGTATTATTACTTCTTCTTCATTTAATTTGTCGAGGTAACCTGATGTTTTGCCAATATATTGGTCTGAAGATGGACCACCGTATGCTTTAGATACATAATTAATCATTCCGGAAGGTGCTATGTTAATAGTTTCCAAGTATTTCAATTTTTGTAAGTCGAATATGTTTAAGCTTGTGCTTTGACAATGTTTGGTCGCTCATATTGACCTTTTATGCAATATAGTATTGAGACCCCATTATCTCCAAAAGGCTTAAAACATTGTGTGAAACAAGTTTTTATTTGCTCTCGAGTAATTGAACAACCTTATAATATGCTAATCTTACTTTACTTACACTGAGTATGATTGAATTCTTCATCTTTTCTCCGATAGTTACGGCATCTAAAAACAGCATAGTAATCTCCTTTAATCTTTTTTTTTACTAAAAGCTAACAAATATTTAAATTTTTATAACAAGTAACAAAAGTAGTTTTTATCTTAGCATTTGCTAAAAAAGCATTGTTTTGAATTATCCCTTAGGAAGATCCAGAATGTATTGCGATAAAAAGCCTGCGGTTCTACTGGGAACAGATCTATTGACATAAGTTATCATGTGTAATTGACATAAGTTATCATGCGTAATTGATATATTTATATTAAAACGCTTTAATATATATATATATATATATATATATATATATATATATATATATATATATATATATATATATATATATATATATATATATATATATATATATATATATATATATATATATATATTAATTACGCTTAATTACGCTTAACAAACGAACCAGTCATTTCGAAAGGGGCATTAGGCCGGGTGAATAAAAAAAAAGTACTCAGTATTTGTTCAGTTTTACGTGAATAAAAACTTCAGCAGTTTTGGAAAAATTTTATTCACGTAAAAATGAGCAATTTACTCAGTTATTGCTCAGCTTTAGGTGATAAAAACTTGAGAAAAATTGCTAAAACTTTTATTCACATAAAGCTGACCAATTACTGAGTAAAAGCAATTTCTTTTTCTTATTCACACGGCTTAGTTCAAAACTTTTAACAATTATTTAATAAATTTCAAATTAAAAGTTTTTGTTTAATTTTTTTTTTTTATAATAAATAAAACTTACAAAAGTTATATATATTTTTATATTTATATACTCTTTTATTCATTTTTTATTTTTTTTGTTGATTTTTAATAAGTTTAAATAAATGGACTTTTCAAAATGATAGGTTCAATTAACAATTGATAAAATATTTTTCATTACTAACTATCAAAAAATAATCTAAAATACATTTCATGCGAAAATATAAGCTTTTTCCACTGTAATAGAAAATAAACTTTGTCGGAGATTAAAAATAAATAATTTTAAAAAATTTTGTCGTTTATCTAATATAGAAATGCTCATAAAATTATAAAAGGAGACATTATAATAACATAATTAAAAACAAATTATTATTAGATTTTATAAATTTGTAATGAAATATTTAAAATATTATTATTATTGTTTTATGTTTTTTTTTTTTTTTAATTATGTTTCAAATAACATGTTAATTCTTATTTTAAGAATGTAAACTTTTTTTTTCAGCATGTTCCATTCCATGTACAAGAGAATATAATCCAGTATGCGGATCAGATGGAAAAACCTACTCCACAGAATGCGTTATGAGAAGCTCTGCATGCCAGTACGAAAAGGCTATCATTGCTGTTCACAATGGACCATGTAAAGCTGAGTAAAATCTATTTTACTGCATCGCTTTCTCGTGTTCAAAATTGATTGAAGTAGATTATTTTGAACAAATCTCTCCTTTGTATTGAATTATATTGTCCTTTTATTTTAAGCTTTTCTTTTAACATCGTCTTCCTATTTGCTTACGTTTGATTATAATACTTTTTTTTTTCATACAGTGAAATTAACATTGTTGCCATGATTACAAGGTCTTTTTATGACAAATCGTTCTAAATCTTTTTGTGTCGGTAGCTCGTATTAAAAAAAATTATTTAAAAGACAGGAAAACCTCAAGTCTATGGTCCTATTTAATTTTAGTTATTGTAAACAATGTAACTTCGTGTATCGACGATGATTGTAGCATAAAGCTGTTTGCGGACAAAAGAAAGTTGTATCATACAAGTGATGATGAAAACAACACACACTTCGTCAATACCCTAAATTTTCAGAATGGTCAATTATTTGGCAATTTCATATAGCGATCAAAAAATGTTTTCATCTACGCTGGTAACATTCATTTACCATTATATGTCAATAAAGATTGATACACCTACTAAATCTACTCAAGATATCGGCATAATTATGTCTTCGGCTATAAAAGTTTCCCATTACTTTTCTTTTTTGCTGGCAAAGCACATTCTTGTACTTACTTTCTTTTAAAATCTTTTATCAGTAGCGTTTTTCAATTTTTGATAAGAGCCTACACAGTTTATGTTCAACTTATATTAGGATATTGTACCTCAGTGTGGAATCCCTACCTTTTAAAAGATATACGTCGCATAGAAAAGTTTTTAAAACTTTTCAAATAGAATTATCTGTAAATATTGTTGTATTACGATGAAGTCTGACATGGTGGTCTTCAAAAACTTACTTCATATGGATTAATTGGGAATATTTTAATAATTATTAAATCATTTATATCGAAACACAGTGGTAAAATTCTTCCCCATTAACAATATTCTTTTTTATTTCTAGATAATTTCTCAAGCCTCAACACCTTCAATGTTAAATCTCTCAAATACCGTAGAAATTTGACTTTATAATGACATACAAAATTATACGCAAACTTGTCCTTCTGCTTTTTTTGAGACATTTACATTTGCATGTTGTCACTATTTTACAAAATGTTATGCCCAAAAGATTATTCCATGTACAAAATGTTATCTATGATAATAATATAAAAATATTTTTTTTGGTGGTTCTTAAAGGTACACCCAGAAGTCCTTACGGTCTTATCACATAGCACCGTGGAAGAGGATTTAACTAGAAGGTTTACGGCTTCTTCTTACTAATGTTAGCGTCGAACTTTGGACCTCTTGGTTTTTGGTTCTAACCACTACACCACGGCTGAACAAACATAAAACTCTTTGCTCCTCATTATACTGTTTAGTTATTCACCTTGTTTTTGTTCAAATTAAATTTAAAAATGTATAATGTTCATTTGCCAACTATACTAACATGTTCTTTTCGGTGTTATAAAAGAGTTTAAATAGACTTTTTGAAATGATGGACTTTGATGTAACCCGTATTGCGCTTTTGTGTTTTTCTTTCAATGAATATAAATAATAATAATAATAATAATAGTAAGTCTTCATCACAATCTTGAATCCAATCAAACATAATTTTTTATTACAAATTACAATTAAAAACTATACCATTTAAAAACAACAACAACAACAACAACAACAACAACAACAACAACAACAAAATACTGCTGTACAATAAAGTATTATAAGTATAAAAATCTGTTAAATATTATGAAACAAAAGTAACAAAACTTTTGTTTCATAATGTTTAACAGATTTTTAAATTACACTAACTGCATTTGAAGCTTACAAATTTGAAGACTTTTTCTGATGTAACTTTAATTCTTGTTTTTTGTTTCAACAATATAATATTGTATCTCTTGTAGTTAAACCCCATTCACATCTTTACTAAAAAATTTATTCAATTATGCAAACATCAAACAAACATATCAATAGCCGTAACAGCCGGTAGCCGTAGCACAAGTGTGCTTTGTCTTATTATAATACACAATTTAAATTCTAAAATGCCGGGCCATTCTCCAGCAAGATGAAAAAAAAAAAAATCTTTCAGAAAAATAACCTTCATATTTTTATTGTATCTGGCACGACTCAAATCCTCAGTAAATTTGGTTGAAATTCCCGCAGAAACTTATATTTTTTCTCATCATTTTAAAGTCAAGTCACACTCCGATACTTTTCTTGAGCAGCTACTCTTGTGATTTTTTTTTTTTTTTAATAAAAAAAAAAATCACGAGAGCAACTCTCTATTTAAAAATCGTCTTTTTATAATCGTAAAAAAACCTCATGAAAAAAACATCTGATGCTTTCATTACTCCTCATCATCTTCATGGTTCATTATTCTTCATCATTTTCAAGGTTCATTACACTTCATCATCTTCATGGTTCATTATTCTTTATCATCTTCAAGGTTCATTACACTTCATCATATTCAAGGTTCATTACTCTTCATCATCTTCATGGTTGATTATTCTTCATCATCTTCAAGATTCATTACTCTTGGGCTTAATTTCTGTTTTATTTTTATAATATCGAGATTCTAGAGACTTTTGGGTCCTAAGAAATATATTTAGTAACAGCCGTGTCGCAGTGGTTAGAGTTCTGGCTCAAAACCAAGAGGTTAGATGTTTGACGCCGGCTCTAAAAGCCGTCATGCCGGCTCTAAAAGCAACATTGGCGTGAACTTCCTTGTCAAATGCTCTTCCGCGGTTTTTTCTGTGAAAAAATAAAAAAAAATTAGTTTACACATTTATAATATTTATTTATACGTTGTCAAATAAACTACGCAAATACTATATAGGGAAACAATCATTGAACAAAGCTAAAATCTCGTAATAAAGCGCGATAACAGTGTAAACTAGGTTTCCAAAAGAAGATCACTAAAACCTGATCATCGGAACCCTAAAAAAAAAAATTTAGAAATAGCTTGTAAAGTATAAGTTACAATAACGTAGAATATATATATCTATAGAATCTTTTACATTAGCAAAACTGTAAACAATTTAAACTTGTAAAGAGGTTGTAAAAAACATAACTACAAAACTTTATTAATACTGTAACATGTTATCAAGGTAAAGAATTTAATTTTTAATTTTTTTTTAAAAAAGACAAAAAGACTTTGGTCAATCAAAATTAAAAATTTGGAAAACAAGTTTATTCCATAGCGCAGTGGGCCATGTTGTGTTCGCTATTTTAAATATATATCTACTAACTCTTATTTTATTTGTATTAAAGGTTTATTATAATAACATACATATATACGACTAGTATTATATGAACAAACATAACTCACTACAATATCTTTCTAACTAACGCTTAAGTTCTAATGTGTTCCACATGAACGCACTCTTTCCAATCATAATGTTATGTATTTCGTTACCAACTCTCAACAGTTCCCCCTGTTTGGTTTTTATTATTACACAAATAAATAAATTATGTTAAAAAATTTTTATAGTAAAACTTTATAGGTCTATTAATTCGCTTTGGATATGATTTTCTTTTACCTTTTTTTTTTCAACATCATTTACTGGTGTTTCACGTTGTATACTTTCGGCTTCAGGTTTTAAGAGTTTTTTTATAAATGTACATCACGCGCCAACTGGTTTCCTTCTTAATCGACTACAATGATTAAATTTTGCTTTCTTTCTTTAACTACATATTTCTTGTTTAAATATTTTGAGTCTAATTTTCCTCCCGGTTTATGGCGTCTCACAAGAACCTGATTTCCTACTTTAATGTCATCTCTCTTCTTTGCATGTTGTTTCATATCAAAATATTCTTGTACTTTCTTATACTTTTTATCTTGACGTTCTCTCACTTCTTTATCATATGGTGATTTTTTAATTATTAGTGAAGGAAACTTATTTTTGATATTTCTATTGAATAATAACGTAGCTGGTGGTTTGCCAGTTGTAGCATAAGGTGTGCATCTATAATTTCGAAGCATGCTTTGAAGTTCCTCTCTCCAACTTTTCCCAATAAAGTGAGTTGTTTTAATTGTTTTTCCTATAACTTGCATAAATTTTTCTACGATACCGTTCGCCTGTGGATATTGAGGCGTTATTTTAATGTGCTTTATGTCAACATTTTTAAAGTTTACTTATGACGCTCGAAGTTGTTGTGATTTTTATTATATCAACAAATGAATATCTTGAATAATCTTTTATAACAAATAAATACTCTCCTGACGGTAATGGTCCGAAAAAATCCATTTAATTCATATTAATTTATCCCAAACATGTTCTGGTAAATTCGAAATTTTTATTGGTTCAGGATTTGGAACTCGTGAATTTGCTTGACATCCCAAACACTTTTCAACATATGTTTCTATATCGGTATTCATAGTGACCAATAAGCCTTTGCATTTTTCAACACATAAATGTCCTTCATGTACAATTTGAAAAGCTTTTTTTTGAAGCGTCTTTGGTAAAACAGTTTTTTCTCCTCGTAATATGATTCCATTGTGATCAGTTAACTCATTTTGAAATTTACGATACAGTTCAAGTATTAGATTGTCGTGCCATTTACCCGACAACAAAACTGTTTTTGCTGTAGTTAAACTGATGTATGTTGCTGTCTCTGTTTTTATATCTTTGAGTGATATTGATTTGGGTGCCATTTTTGTCACTAAGAAATTTATATACGCTGCAACTTCATTTTCATCTGACTTACTATGTATTTCATTTGGAGTACAGTTTCTAGAGATAAAATCTGCAATGTTCTCTTCTCCTTTCTGATATATTACATTAAAATCGTATGCCTGTAATTTAATTTGCCATCTTGCAATACGTGCATTTAATTTAGAACCAGAAAAATGAACTTGAGAGGTTTGTGATCCACTATGACCTTAAAGTTTTTTCCATATAAACACAAATGTAACTTTTCAATTGCCCATACCAAGGCAAGAGCTTCCTTTTCTGTAATACTATATTTTAACTCGACTGCGGATTATGATCTACTTATGTAGCAGATTGGTTTAATCCATGTTCCTTCTTTTTGTAAGAGTATTCCACCTATGGCATGATTACTAGCTTCAGTAATTAAGTGTACTTCTTTGCACGGATCATAAAAAGCCAAAACGGATTCACTTGATAACTCACGTTCAAGCATGTTGAAAACATCATAATGTTTTTTTTCCCACTTAAATTTTGAATTTTTCTTTAATAGTTTCTGTAGTACTGTTGTCTCTAAAGACTTAAATAAATCTTGATACATATGTGCATAAATCAAGAAAACTTCAAAGCTCACTCACCATTGTTGGTGATCTTGCATTCTTGATAGCTTCTACTCTGTTTGGATCCGGATTAATAACATTTTTAGATATTTCAATACCAAAATATTTTATTTTGTCTTGAGCAAAAATACACTTTTTTTTTTTAACTTCAGACCTAATGTCCTTGTTTTGACGAACAAAAGTTCTAAATTTCTTAAAAAGTCTTGTTCGTCTGATTTTGAACGAATTATTGATCCCATACACTAATCTTTTGTGTCGGAAGGCTCCCTCATCGTTTTGAAAATTTGTAATTTTTCTTGATTCGATATTCAACTCTAACTGAGTATAGGCTTCCTTCATGTCTAGTTTGGCAAATATTTTTGAACCTTGCATTTCATCTATTACCGAATCTAATGTAGGTATTGGGTATCTTTTCACGTTTAATTGCTATGTTTATGGTTCTAGCATAAAGACATAACCTTACTGTCTTATTTGCTTTTGGTACAGTTACAATATTACTTATCCATTCTTGTGGTCCTTCAACTTTTTCAATAATGTCTGCTTCCTAAAGTCGCTTTAACTCTGCTCGAATGTCTTTTCGAAGGTGATAAGGATAACGACGCAAATTTTGCGCAACTGGTTGTATGTTTTTGTCTACAAAAAGTTTGCATTAAAAATTTTTAAATTTACCATGTCCTTCGAATATGTCTTCGTATTTTGCAATTAACTTTAAAGTGACTTTACAATTTGAATCAAAACTATTATCATTTTGATTCGTTGGAAGTTTGATTTTATCATCAATGTTTTTACACACGTTAGAATGCTGTACAGCTTCATCTGACTTATTATCCACTGAATTCATATAATTGTCTTTATTATTCACAAACTTTACACTTTCTGCAATTTTTAAAATCTTCAACTCCTTAGCAGTTTCAATTCCCATTATATTTCCAACATTACTTTTATCTACGATTTTGACATTTGAAACACATTTTTTTAATAGCTTTGCAATCATTTTGGTGTCCAACAAATGACTTCTTCTCACATCGAAAACATAACAAGTTTTTTTCTTTTTTGTCTATATTATCATTTCGATTAGGTCTTGATTTAAAGTTTGTTGTTTGTTTTCTTCTTCTGAAAACGGTTTGTTTTTCTTAATGATCTACAAAGTCGATTTCCTCTGAGCATACATTTGCTTTTTTATAAGACATTTCTTTTGCCTGTTGTTCTGTAAGGAGTTTTTGTTTTAATTTTAAAGAATAACACAATGATATGAACTGATCTTTCAATGTCTCATTTGTAACATTTGGAAAGGCACAATACTCCGCTTGTTTTTTTAATCGCGTAATAAAACTTAATGTACTTTCCCCTTCATTTTGTTTGATCCTCATAAAGACGTAACGTTCGTTTGTTATATTCTTTCTTGGACTGAAATATTGATCCAGTTTATCACACATTGCCTTGTATTGATCGGTGTCAGTTCCTTTTAGGGTTTTATAGATTTCTTTTACATCGATTCCTGCTAGATGCAGAAGTAACGCCTTTTTTTGCGCGTTTTGCGTGACTCCAGTTGCTACTAGATTTAACTCAAAATCTTCTTTCCATGTTTTCCACCGTTTGTCTAAGTTAGTTGTGTCGTTTTGATTTATAATGAACTGTTATACTTCAGGTAAATTATTAACTATTTTTGCCATAGTTTGATCTTCGTCGCTAACTGTTGTGTTCACTATTTTAAATATATATCTACTAACTCTTATTTTATTTGTATTAAAGATTTATTATAATAACATACATATTTACAACTAGTATTATATGAACAAACATAACTCACTACAATATCTCTCTAAGTAACGCACGAGTTCTAATGGGTTCCACATGAACGCACTCTTACCAATCATAATGTTATGTATTTCATTACCAACTCTCAACAGGCCAGAATTTTGTTTCCGTGGCCAAAAGTCAAATCTTTTAGACTTTTTTATTTTAAAAAGAAACATAGGTGCTTTACTCTACTTAAAAAGGTATCCGTTTACTTACTAGAGATGAAGGCAAGCTTGCTAGAACTATTCATAATGGCTTTAAATTTGTCAAATTTTCGCAAATTTTTTTTTCTTAAACAATACTTATCCTTAAAATCCACATTGCTACCTAGCAATAAATTAATAAGGGCACTTTATAAAAAAAGAGCTAATTTATAAAAAAATCTTTTCTTAACAATTGCAATGTATTGTAACATTTTATGCATATAGTCAAGAAATAGGGGTTAAAGTAGAGAGAATGCCGGGGAATAAAATAGGGGTTAAAGTAGTATGAATGCCGGGGAACGCCGTTCCTGCTTTGCCAAAAATCACAAAACCGTTCCGCTTCTCTCAATATTTTTTTGCAACCGTTCCACCCCCTTTTCAAATTTTTTATTTATTAACAATGGAATATGATATTTTTTTACTAATCTTATCTAAATTAATATCTATCAAAAAATTGTAAATTTCCTAAAATAAATATATAAACAAAACTATTTATTGTTTGTATTATTTTGTTTCGCTTTAAACACCAGAAATTGGCTCATTTCAAAAGTTTTTCTTAATGTATTCGTTTAATTAAAACATTTGACATAAGCAAATTGTTATTACGGATTTTCATAAGGAGTGGTTTAGGCATATGAGATTTCGACGCCATTATTATAGGGGATAAATGCACATAAACAAAACCAATCTGAGTTGTTAAGATAATGCTTTTTTCAATTAAGAAGATACAATGGATGATTTTAAATAAAAAACAATTTTATAAAATGACTTTTAGACCATTTCTCATCTACAAATTGCACCTTACTCGAGTTGCGGATCAGAATATATAAATTTAAACAGTATCCTTTCCGTGCATAAAAACCAAAATAAAAAGCGTAATGACGTTTTGTAGTCGAAGTTTTCTTGGGTTCTTCAAGCATCCCGCCTTCAATTATCTCTTTAATCAAAGAAGACTCAATGTATCATTCTATAACTTCATCTATTTTTAAAAATTATACTTTGATTATACGAGAAATCATTTTAGAACAGCCAGAAAAACTGTGACTTTTAAAACGGACTTTAGTTCACCTGATGTTCACGTTGCTTGTTAGTTATAAAAATCTTATGAAGAAAAATTCTTCCTGCTGTAATTTTATTTAAAAATAAGATTCCACCGATATTTTATTTTGAATTGCTGGTTTCAATAATGTTTTTGAATTATTGGTTTCAAAAAGTTTTGATATGTCCTTTTATTGTTATTATTTATAAAAAACTTTTGAACTCATGAGTTCAAAAAGGATATTAAAAAATAAAAGGCTTATTTTCTATGACATCTTTTGTAGCAGTATAATTTTTTTTCCATTTGCATAATGGAAAAAAAATTATACTGCTACAAAATCTACTAAAAACATTATTTTACTAAAATTGTTATATAAATAATAACAAGAAATGTTATATAAATAATAACAAGAAATGTGTTCAAGCAAAGAAAACAATTTTCTATCCTTTCAACCAATTTACAATGATATTCAGCAACATATACAAAGAAATTTAACTGAAATAATATTTATTTTTACATTGACAAAATATACATAACTGATCCTATTAAATATATAGATTATAATAAAATTTAGAAAAATTCAGACTCATGGCTAAACAAAGTAAATTGAGTCGAAATTCTTGTTGTGCATATTCTGGAAAAAATTCAAAAGCTTATTGTACCGCACTAGTTTTCACTATCTGGTATTAAAAAGTATAGATATGTAAATATTGCTGAAAAAATACATATATTCATATGTGCTGAAATACCATTATACATCAAATACCATAATACTTATTCAGTTTGTGTATTATTATAGTGAAGAAACTCAAGAATGTTGAAATTAAAATTTGTAGTTTGAAATTGTGTTGAACTTTTTCAAATTGTGCACAGTCTATAGTCATTTAAGTTAAACAATGTCCATTATTGACAAATATTTTCGAATTCTTTTTCGATAAATAGGATAATCTGGTTGAAGTACAACATTGTCAAACAATGGCACAAAATACTATCCAAGCAACAAAAAATATTAATTGTGCATTTGGAAACTGGTAAAACATGGGCCATAACAACCAATGCATGAATACAAGTTATTAAAAATAAAATAATTTAGTTATTTTATCTATAGCTCAATTACCAGTGCCTTTACAATCTTAATACACAATAGTAAATATGGACTAGTAATATCAAATAAAACATTGCAGTTAGATAAAAGGTATTTTCATTATAACCGATTATTTTTGATTAATGTATTAGGTTTTAATAACTTTGTTGATAAAGATTTACTTTTCACTTTTAATAATAATTGATTATTAAATTTTGGGAGAACTTTTACTTTTATAGACTCTAATTTTATTGTTCTAGTAATTTTCTGCACTAGTCTTTTTTTAATGGTTTAATTTTTTACAATGAAAAAAATAACAAAAGTAAATTATTATGCCATTATTTTGTCTATTATATTAAGATAAGATATTTTAAAATTATTCTTTAAGAAACCTTTGAGATGATAGGAAATAGTAGAAGGAGTTTCTTGAAGATTCGGGTTCTTAGCAATATCTAGTTTTACTGTATATCAATTCTATTTATATCTATCGGAAGGTTTTGATTCGTAAATGATTAATGAATTAACTAATGATTAATAACAGATTAAATTAATCTGTTTGAATTCAATTTTTTATTTTTTACATATACTTTTATGAATAATATACTGTATTACTAATATAGATTATAGATGTTACCTATATTTGAACTCCAACCTTCATAAAATTAATCCGTTCGACCAATTTACGGAAGTTAAAAAGATTGAACTAAAACAAAGTATTATTCAATGATACTTTATTAAGTTCCATCTCCGTTTTTTTGTACCAACGTTATTGTAACATAAATATGAAATATAAAACCACTTTATATTGTTAATATCTTTGTAATAATAGTTATTTCAACAAAAAACACCCAAATTTTGACTATCAAAGTCATTTACAAAATCTAAAACAAAGAAAAATTTTTTATAATTAACTAAACAAAGCCGCCATTTCGTTCATTTATCCCCTATGAAAAAGTCATACATTAAAACCGCACGCTGTGAAAGTCCCTTATTAGCAAATAGCAACTCTGGCCGTCACCCGAGGCAACAAAATACTTCAAAAATTCACCTAACAAAAACGCACCTTCAGCAAAAATTTGAAGGACTAATTCCACACGCGAATGAGGTATTCAGCATATCTTTGAACATCCAATTTTAACTTTTTCATACTGTTCTACTTGATTTGTTATTTTACATTAACCCCTTTGATAAAACATTGATTTTCTTGAAAAAGTCACTTCTAATGAAACTTTTTTAGTTTTTATAAGTATTGTGTTTACAATATTCACATTAAGCATTGTGTTTACAGTATTCACATAAAGTATTGTGTTTACAATATTCACATAAAGCATTGTGTTTACAGTATTCAAACAAAGTATTGTGTTAACAGTATTCACATAAAGTATTGTGTTTACAGTATTCAAACAAAGTATTGTGTTTACAGTATTTACATAAAGTATTGTGTTTACAGTATTAATTTAAAGCATTGTGTTTACAGTATTCACATAAAGTATTGTATTTACAGTATTCACATAAAGTAATGTGTTTGCAATATTTATATAAAGTATTAAGTTTACAATATTCAATGACGGATTGATGGCATGTATGGGGATATGTATCCCCTTTCCCCCATCAGAATTTGAAAGTCCTAAAATATCTTTAAAAATATTTTTCTATTTTGTAGCAAATTTGCTACAAAAATAGAAAAATATTTCAACATCTATCTCCCCTCCCCCACCAAAAATTCCTGGATATGTCACTGACAATATTCACAAAAGGTTTTAATACCAGGGATGGATCTTGGGTGGCGCCATTGATGCACGTACATCAGTCTTTTTGCACCGCTAAATTTAATTTTTCTCTTTTTCAGTTTTGACCTTATTAAAAAGGTTCAAGTAGAATTTAGAATCTCATACTCAACAAAAATGAAACATTTAATAAGAACTCAATTTATTTCATCTCCATAGTCATTTATTCGTTACTTACACAAATTTCTTTTGTTTTGGATCAACTGACGCAATTGTTCTTCTTTACATACAAATTTGATTGGTTAAAGAAAAAATATTTTTATTTTTACCAACTTTTCCACTAGCAAGTGATGCAAATCTTGTTGCAATTGTACTTTAAACCATAAATTATTGGTTAAAAAACAGTTTAAACCAATGGCTATTTATTAAAGTAAAAATTGAGAAAGTTGCTAAAAACCTTCCGAAAAGTTTAGAACAATTGCGTCAGATGCTCTAAATTGTTCAAAATTTACACAATTCTGATATACGTTCTTTATTCGCAATATTTGTCAAAAGACTTTGCTTGTAAATTAAAGTTTTTAAACAAAATTTTTTTTGTCACAAAATGCAATTTAGGCTATGCCTTTGTCAAACATTCGCAAATATAAAAATCAGCTAACTGAAGAGTTTAAAGTTTTAAATAAAAAGTGTTCAGCATAGTCTTTTTAAAATTTCGGATTGTTTTATCCCAAAGCAAGGAGGTTTTATCCAAAGCAAAAGAGATAGTAAAGATTATGTTGCTTAAATCACTAAAGTTTAATGTGTTTTAAATTTCTAGCGAACAGGTTTTTGTGACAAAAATTTTTTTATTAGTTTTAAATGTTCCTATTAGATCAACATATCCTGATTTCGGCCTAGAAAAAATCAAAATACTTTTTAATACAATTATTTGTTACATCTTATTCTTATAAAAATCTAAATTAAAAGTTTGTTTGCTTATTCCTTATTTGCTATTTGCTTATTATTTTTTATTATATAGCAATGAAAATGAAGCTTAATTGTCTTCTTTTTACTTTCTGAGGTGTTAGTATTCCAAATAAGTCTGTATTATAAAATTTAGTTTTCAAGAGTGGAGTAACGCTGTTCATGATTTACATGAATGGTCTATGCTTTCGTTTAATGCATTATTTTCTTATTGCAACTCCAAAAGTAATGTTATTGAGGTTGATTTAAATAATTGTTTGAAACTTCTTTCTGATAACCGAAAAAAACAAGCTCGAATAACTAAAACAATAACATTTCGGTTGAAATGATCTTCATTTGGTGTAATCTTTTTACTGGAATTTAAGAAATTTTTAAGTAAACTGTAATAAAATATCACATCATGAGGAATGTAAGACCCAAGGTATTAAATACCAATCGTTTGCAATATTTTAGAAGCCTGCATAGGCCTATAGTACTGTAGAGTTTATGCTTAACATGGAAAAAATTTTTATTAAGACATATTATGTGCCTTTGGAAAGATAATTTTATCAGTTTTTTAATGGTGTATCTTTTTTGGAGTTAAGCAAAAAAAAAATTGAAGATGAAAATGTGAATAGTAGATTTTTGCTTACCTGAGCAATTTTTTTTTTTTTAAACACGAATTGCGACTCCGGTATTTACCTAGGGAAGGAGGAAAAATATTTCTTTTATATTTATTCATAATTAATTTTACCTTTTATACCTAGTTTTTCAAATTTGGAAAAAAATGTTTACCAGGACGCTCCCCTCCCCCCCTCCCCCATTCACGGCAATCCTCTTTTAAATAACCCAATATTTATAAGAAAATACAAAATAATCCAACATATGTATTTTTTAAATTATATAAAAATTCATTTTAGATATAAAAATTATCTTTCATATCTCAAAAGCATCAAGAAAATGTATTTCTTCCTCTTCAATGTCTTCTAGAATATTAATAGTACCGTAAGTGCATGTTACGCCATGGCACTCTTTACAAGATGATGTACAATTTAATCCAGCATTTTGACAAGTACATTTATTTCTACATGGACCCTTGCAGCAAAATCTGATAATGCTCAAAATATCTTGAGGACCTGCTTCTAAATCTGTCATAATTTGTGCATGCATTTGATTTTGTATTACCCAGGGAATACTAAAATACCGGGACGCAAGACAACTGAGGTAATAGACAATTTTTCTAAATCAAAAGGTAGAGCTATAAAGAAATACAAAAAAAGTTTCGAAACGTACTTTATGCACTGAAACCATTTTCTTTGCATTAGGTATTAAAATGAAAAGAGAATAAGCATGTCTGACATACTGAAATAGATGTTAAGTAGGATGACATAGTAATTTACACAACCTCTTGAAGTCATTTTTGAAATGCACGTAACGAAAGTTGGAATAGAAATAAATAAATGAAAGGGAAATTAATTGGGAATTTCCGCATTTGTATATATCGGGATTTTCCATACTTACTATGGAAAATCCCGATATATATATGATTCAACGCTGAACAATATTATCTTCATGAGTTACTTGTTTATGTTTTGTTTTAGCCTACGAAACATAAAATTATCTTACAATAAGTTAATAAATAAAATAATAAATATTTTATTAATAAACCCCGTTTTGCGCCCTTAAAATAGGCAATCCCACAGCATTTTGCGTTTTTTAGAAAAACCTTACGTAATGGAATTTCTTTGGTAACTTTTTTGAATTCAGCAACCAAAAATACATAAGAATTACCTCTTTAATCTTTGAAAAAAAAATGTTGCAGACATGTGTAATTGAATGTTTCGGACGTACTTGATACATTTCAAAGTGAAATAACTAGAAAGCGCAGTATTGTTTTCATTTTGTCTCTGGGGGACGTGATATTAAATATCATATCTTTTCCGCCTTAAATGTTTAGGTATATGTGTTATTTTATAACAATACTCTTAAGTTCCGTGATATGTTATTGGTTAACCAAGATGGCACCCGTTTTAAAAACTGGCTTCAAAAAAGTCTCTTGTTTATCACCTTGGTTTTGATAATTTATTTTATTGTTTTAAAGGTTGTGGTTTTGGAAAATCAGCAAAGAAGCGATTCTGTTTAATATGAACTTTATTAAAAAATTTTTGATAAAATGAATTGACAAAATGTTAGACATTATTAATAAACAAAATGTCGATGTTAGACGACTTAATCTAACTCTTTGTTTGAAAATCCATCGAACTTTTATATATAAACATATATAAAAAACTAGGACATAGAGTTAGGTTAATGTTTCCTACCGCAATATTGTGTTTTCTAACAATTCCAAAAATTTTTCTGCAATTTTTTTTCTTATATCAAAAGTTTTACATTTTGCTATTCTTTTATTTGCACTGCTTTCATGTTGAGTATTATCGTATGTGTTGCTTAATTCGACGACTTTGTTAATTGGTCTAGTTTTGAAATTATCATCATTAAATAAATAATTTTAAAGATAATTTTAAAAGTATATGTGCTACTGGATTAATAGATTACATATGTTTTAATATTTTTGTTTAAATACTCGCTTCTTTATTGCTTTTCAAGAAACCGCAGTAATTAAAACGTTTAAAAGTATTCACAAAATACAACGTGGCTTGGTTGTAAAAATTCATTTTACCGCAAGATATTTTATAGGAGTAAATTTCTCATATGCGATTTTTACTGGGGATCTACTGGGGAGTAAAAGTTTCATAAGCGATTTTTACTGGGGAGTAAAAATTTAATATGAGATTTTTACTGAGGAGATAAAAAAAAGCGGGAGTAAAAATCTCATACAACAAAGGTCTTAAACCTCCCAAAACAACACTGATGACAGCTCACTTAACCACTGAGCTATCTAAAAAATGCATTTAGTAGAAAAACAAACTTAAAACTATAAGTCTCCTACAAGCTCAACCTTTACGGAAAAGGTGCAGATTTTAAGTTTTTTGCTCTTAAAGTTTTTTCAGAAAAAATTATTTTACTCAAAAATATTAAAGTAAATAAGGAATAGGTATATAATTAATCGGTGTGGAATAGATAAGTAAATTGGTAAAGACCTGTATTTTATGGATTCAGAAAGCTAAGATGTATAAGAAAAAAGTATAGAAAAGTTCGATTTGGAATAGACTTACAAAGACTCGTATTTTTTTGGGTCTGATCTCAGCTAGTTTATACTAATTTTACTTCAAAAATATGTTGGAATATTATATTATTTTTTATTTCGTTGCTTATTTTAAGGTGTAGCCTTAGCCACAACGGCTATACCATAGATCCGCGCTTGTTTATATATATATATATATATATATATATATATATATCGTCATATTTTGAGCTGATTAAATAGGAACTTTTTTATGACAAAGACGAAGTCATTAATGTTTTTCTCTGAAACTAAAACAGAAAAAACTGTTATCAATTGTATTGTCAACTAAAAAGAAAGTCGAAACATAAATTACATATAAAAAATACTAAAAAGTAGACGACAAAGTTCTTCTTTGGATGCAATATAA